GTATGAAAAAACCTGACAAAAATCAGAGAAAATACTGAAAATCAATAAAAATTTGAATTTCGCGCGCTTTTACCGGCTGCTGGCCTAAAAAACTCACACCTGGCCGCTAGGCCACCGGTTTCCACTTTGACTTTTCGATGCCGTTTTTCTCAATGAAGGATTTTTTTTTCGAATTTTTTCTTTATTTTTATCGGGATCTACATGGAATTCTGCACAAAATAAAGCAATAAAATTTTTCACACCACCTTTAACTACGGCCCCCCCTGGCTTTCAAACTTTGAGCCAATTTATTTCAGTTCATGTGAATGATATTAAAAAGTGACCAACTGATAAAATATCGCTGATATTTCGTTTTCTGTAACAGATATCAAAATTTTGTCAACTAAAAAAATATTGCTGATATTATGATAAACAATTTGTAAGTTGACAACTTTTTGGTATCTTTCACAGGAACCGAGATAACTGAGCTTGTGCCCCTCATGAGAGGAAATACGGATTCTCCCTTTCGTAAAGTCTTAGAGATCACGCGGGAATTCAAACGTTTTAAAAAATCCAAACATTTCAGTACCCGGACAAAATGGCCGAAGCCAACAAAGCCCACAAACAAAACACCGACACAATCAAATCGCACATCAAAGTGATCCACGAGGCGGCGCTGAATTTCGATCCGAAGAATATGGGAATGTTGGCAGTGCTAGCGAATGCCTGTAAGTTTTTAAAAATGGCATTCAACTTTTTCAAATTCAAAAAATTATTCCAGTCAAAAGCGACACTCGTATTGGAGCTCAAATCGTACCGGCCATGTCGGAAGCACTGAACACACCACCAGATCCATCCCAACCCACATTCGATCTATCGTACCAAAGAAAAGCAGTGAATCAGTTTGATGCGTTTCCTAAGGAATTCCTAGATGCACTGACTTCTCGAGCTAAGCGATCGCTGCTGGGACAGATATTGAGTGTTTTCCGTAGTTTTGGAACTGATAAGCTTCCAAGTCCCGCTGCATTTGAGACATTGGCAAGGATATGTCAATCGGAAGATTATGAGATGGCTGTCAAGGATTTGGAGAGTCTAGCTAGTCGATCGTTGCACATTTCTACTCAGGAAAGAGCAGCGGATATTGCAACGGTGAGACTTCAAACTACAGTATCTCCTAAACTTTATTATAATACCGTAGAAACTCTAATAGAATGGCACCCCCATCTTTGAGCCAATTTATCTCAGTTAGTGTGAAAGATATCAAAAAGTGGTAAACTGATAAAATGTTTCTGATAATATGATAAACATTTTCTTGATTGACAACTTTCTGATATCTTTTACAGAAACCGAGATATATCAGCTCAACGTTAAGAAGTTGGCAGCCGGCGCGTAGCTCAGCGCCGCCTTTCTAACTTTTAATCAATTTATCTCAGTTCCTGTAAACGATATCAAAAAGTTGTCAACTGATAAAATGTTGCTGATATTATGATGAACATTTTATCAGTTGATAACTTGATTATATCTCCCACAGGAACCAAAATATGTGGGCTCAAAGTTGAAAGTTAGGTGTGGCGTTCTATTAGATTGCTTAGAGCTATGTGGTTTTTGGCTATGGACCTTCAAAAAGCCATTTTTGCCTGTTTTTTTGGGGATTTCAGAACTTTTGTAAATTCGAGAATTTCAGAGTTTTTTGAAATTTGGTTTTTTTGGAATTTATGGGAATTTGAAATTTTCGGAATTTTCGGAAGTTTTGGTATTTGGAGTTTTCGGGAACTTGAGTGTTTTGGGATTTTCGGAATTTCAGAATTTTTGAAGTTTCTCGGAGACTACAAACTATAAAGTCTGCTGAACATAGCCATTAAAATGAGCCACGTGGCTTTCTGGTCTAGTTCTCAAAATTGAAATTTTTACTGAGAACTACAAGAAAAGGCTTAGACTACAAACTACAATATTTCACAGTTTTCAAAAAACTTAAAATGTCCAAACCCTTTACTAAATAATTCTGAAGAAAATTTCGGAACTCGAACTACCGTAAAACCTGTAATAGAAGGGCACCCACACTGTCAAGTACGACCTCAATTACCTCAATTTCTATGAAAAATATCAAAAAGTGGTCAACTGAAAAAAATGTTGCTGACAATATGATAAACATTTTCTTAATTAACAACTTTTTAATATCTCTTACAAGAAACTAGATAAATTGACTCAAATTAAAAGTTAAGGTGCCGTTCTATTACAGGATTTAGGTATAATTTTTTGAGCCTCAAAAAATAGACTACAAACCATTTTTTTTTCTGATTTTGATCCAATTTACTGGTATCTTCAGAACAATCAAGCCAAGGATCAATGTCACTTCCTTTTCGATTTCCTCGCCTACCGTCTACCCCACGTGCATTCCTATGGAAAGTACACCTCAACCACTGGATCTCTCCTCCTTTATTTCACAGCATCTGTTGCTCCAAACACACCTCAAAACCATCAAGTCTATCGTCTTCTGGAGCAAGCACTTCTTCGTAGAATGTACTGGAGAACGTTCCATGAATCAGTCATCAATCACTCTCAACTATTCGGTTCTAGCTATAAGGAGAACTCGAATAATGTGATGCTACGTCATCTGAAGAATCCCAAGACGTTCTCGACACCAGTTGATCAGTGGCAATTTCCATTGAATCCTGAGATCTTCAAAATGACGATTTATGCATTTATGAGAGCTTTGAAGATTACTGGACAGGAAATCCCATTGGATGGAACTATGCACCCAATCCACGTGGCTGGCTACGGATGGCCTGAAAAGTCTACAACGTTCTTCCCAAAATGGGCTTTAGAAGAGATAAAGAAGACAGATGTCAAAAAATTGGCCCCAAATTATGCAGAGATTCTTTCGACGACTGATGAGGCATTCCGGATGAATACATTGCTCACTGGAGGTCAATATGTGATTAGATATGCTGATGATCCTAATCCCATCACTTATCACTGTATGCTGGCGGTCATTTTCAAGCAGTTATGTTCGAAACCTGAGCAGGATTTGACTTCCGAATATTATCAGTGAGTGATTTATCAGTGATTGTTCGAGGAATTCGAAAATTGGCATATTTGCAGGGTAATGGAGAAAAAGTCGCCAAAGGACATTGTTGTAATGGGCAACTATCTGGTGGATTTCATAATAGCTGATGTGAAGAATAATCAAGATTGTAATGAACAAACTTTCAAGACGGTGAGTCGAATTTTTATCTAAAGTAATGCGAAATTTTCAAAATTCTTATCATTCTTAAAATTCCTATCCGAGCCTTGGCGAGCCTTTCTATAGCTCCTTTTGAAATCAATTATTTTGAACCAACTAAAATGGATATGATACAACTCGACGAGTACTACAAAATGAAACCATCTGATGAACTGTATCTTGTCTATGAACAAAGTTATAAAGTAAAAACCGTCAGAGCGACGCGGCCTTAGGTTTTAGGCTTATAACTTCGTTCATACACAAGATACAGTTTGTCAATTAGTATTATTTTGTAGTACTAGTTAAGTTCTATCATATCAATTTTAGTTTGTCCAGAAATGTTTAGTCTGAAAGGAACTATGACACGATCCGCCAGTGCCCGTTTGTATACTTGCGAACCGCGCCTTTGCCGAACCTTCACTGGCCCTACCGTAGTTTCTTTTGGAGTCCATATTTTTGAATCAACTAAATTGGATATGATAGAACTCGACAAGTACTTCAAAATTATTTTATTTTGGCTATTTTACCTTGCTTATGGTCAAAGTTATTCCATTTAGTACAGGCCTGTGCGGCAACGAATTGCCGATTGCCGAAATTGCCGAAATTGTCGAATTTTTGTTGCCGATTTGCCGTTGCCGATTTCGGCAAAAAAAATTTCGGCAATTTCGGCGACTGAAATTTTTTTGAATTTCGAGATTTTCACAATTATTTCAATCAAAAAAAATAATTTCGAAGTTTGAAAAAACCTAATTTTGAACACCATTATCCCTCAAAGTGAATTGAAAAAGAAATGTGCCCCAATAATCACTAAAAATACTTGCATCGGTCCTAAAATGGGCTTCCAATTTGTGAGCATAGGAGAAAAATAGATATCATGAGTCATCTAAAAACTATCCAATCTGTCTAAAATCACTAGAGAACGTGTGTCGTGAGTTGCCTAACAAGTTGAGTACACTATTTTCAAAACTCACAATCAGAAAAAAATATTTTCAACCATTGGAATACCATCTATCTATTCAAGATAAGTAGTTAGCATAAAAAATGTGATCTTGAGTTGCCAATTTTTGTAATTGCTTTGTTAGGAAACGCATGACACACATTTTCTGTAGTTTTGAGCCTGATCGGAGCATTTTCTGTTGAGTTACGTATCGATTTTACTTTTAAAAAAAGACGCAAACTATTGTTGCCGAATTTGCCGAATTTTGTTTTCGGCAATTGCCGATTTGCCGAATTGCCGAAAAATTTTTGTTGCCGCACAGGCCTGATTTAGTATCATTTTGTAGTACTCTTTGAGTTTTATCATTCTTATTTTAGTTGGTACAGAAACATTGATTCTAAAAGAAATTATGGCAGGGTCAACAAATATCTTATCCCAAGATATTCCAGATCGCCAAAACCGCCGCATTGATGTGCTTCCATTTCAACATTCACCGAGCCGACCGTTTTCTTCTCTCACTTATAATGCATCCATCAACAGACGAGGACGCTCAGATTTGCATTCAAATCGCCAACGAGTTCCTGTTGACTCCAAAATTCCAAGAACGCATCAAATGGTTTTATGAGAATGACGTGCCAAGAAAAGAAAAAGATCCCTATGAGTACATTAAAGCGATTGTTAAGTACCATGACGCTTTCCCGGAGTTTGAAGCTTGCCAATTGGTTCCAAAAAATGATGACACTGGTACAAATGTTCATATGCCAACTTATTACGGTTGTCTTATCGAACGCCTCCTCCCGATTCTGGATCAATACGTCTACGTGGCTTTGGAGCAACAAGGATACAAGATGAGCAATGCTCTTCTCCAATTAGTCTCAATGTTCTATAGATACCATCCGATGCCTATCCATTTCATGTATTCTGTGTTATTCGTGTCCCATGGAAAAATGGCTGGGCCTGATGCCAAGTCATTCGTTTCTGCATTCGCATCTCAAATCGAAGAGTGTCATTTGACAGAGGAATTTGAGAAGTATAACCATCAAAAGTCGTCGTGTGAAGAGTTGATAATGGAGTTGTTGGATCGGATGGCTGCTAGTTTGGATTTCGTTTTGACTCCGCCCACTTTTGTAGCGAAGGATTGGAGGACAGCTGAGATGAGTCCTGGAGCACAGGCGTTGTATCTAGCTTGTATTGAGCTGATGGCCAGTCCCCATTCCCCAGAGAAACTAGTCAACGCCATGATCAACGTAATGCAAATGCGTCCACACCTTCGACCATTCAACGTCTTCAACCTCATTGCTCTTCTGTTGACTGCACTTCCATCTACCTATGCTGATGCTCTTCACGAGGAATTTATTGGAGTTTTCAAGAATGGAGAAACCGCGAATCTCAAGTTTGAGGAGATCGTTTTCGATAACTATGATTCCTCATTGCTGCTACATTTACCGAATCGAGCGAGATCGATCAATATGATTGCTCAGATCTATTGGACGCAGTGCAATATGGTATGTAGGCTAGGGGTTACCTATTTTGCTTCTTTTAGAACCAATATTTTTGGACCAGCTAAATCAGATATTATAGAATTTAGAAAGTACTACGAAACGATACTAATTGGAATACTGTATCTTGTGTATGAACAATGTTACAAGCCAAAAACCGTAAGACCTACGCGGTCCCAGGTTTTAGGCTTATAACTTTGTTCAAAGACAAGATACAGTTTATCAGATAGTCTCATTTTGTAGTACTTGTCGAGTTGTATCATATCCAATTTAGGTGGTTTAAAAATATCCATTCTAAAAGAAACTGTGACAGGGCCCGTTTTGTACTTGCGAACCGCGCCTTCGCCGACTCTTCGCGGGCCCTACCGTAGCTTCTTTCAGAACTAATATTTTTGAACCAACTAAATTGTATGTGATAGAACTAGAACATCACTACAAAATGATATTATTTAAAAATCTGTTTCTTGTTTATGGACAAAGTTACAAGCCAAAAACCGTCAGAGCTACGCGGTAAGAGGTTTTAGGCTTATAACTTTGTTCATAAACATGATACAGTTTAGCAAATAGTCTCATTTTGTAGTCCTCGTTGAGTTCTATCATATCCAATTAAGTTGGTTTACAAATATGTGGATGTTTTCTTTCAGGCTCTTCTCAACCCATTCGCTAATGATCAAGTTCCGAAACTTCTGGAACACGTCAAAACCGAAAAGGATCTCTGGTACACCCTTCGTCTCGTAATGCCCATCATCCGTCGTTTTTGGGATTCCTGGGACTTCGCAAAAACCATGAGGGCCCTCCGAGAGAGATTCGGTCCTCTTGTTATCATGAAGCTAATCATTGAAAAGCTAGGATCCATGGCTGAATCTGGAGTGGAGATAGTTCATGAAGCACCGTTCTGTGATCTATTCTACAATTGCAAATACGTTTTCGTTGGCGATTTCTTAAGGGAAACTGCGATCACGGAATTCGCGAAACTTCCAGAAGCAATGAGGGAACGGTTGAAGTATTACGTGTCACAGAATGAACCAGCACCTCCAGAAACACCGGAGAGGGAGAAGACGCCGGAGAGGAAAGATCAGCAGAAGGAGCAACAGGAAGTGATGCCGAATCTGGTGCCACAGGCTCACCCCCTACATCAGCAACAACATCAGCAACACCATCAGAATCCCCAACTTCACCACGAAGCTCAACATCATCCCCACCATCCTCACCAGCAGCCATCCATGCCACCACCTCAACTAATCCCCCAACATCATCTACAACATCATCAACAGCAACTTCATCACCAACAACAACAACAACAGCATCTATCCCAAATGATGCCCCCACCTCAACAACCTCTTCAACACCTCCCCCATCATCAAATGGATATGGCTCCGCCCACACCTGCTCCGATGCACCATCAGCAGCATCAGATGGCAATGCATCAGCAAATGTATCCGGGTCAAATGTTCCACCATCCCCAAGGTGGTCATATGGGTTACGGTATGCAGCATCACATGCAACAACCGCATCCACATCATCCGCAGATGCAAGGGCAGATGCCGTCACAAATGCAGCATATGGTAAGGGTATTTTTTTGAAAAAAAAATTATGAAAAAAATAAAATTGCTCATCCTTAAATTTCAGATGCACAACATGACGCCCCAGCAGCAACAACAGTACGCCTACATGATGCAACAACAGCAACACCACTATATGCAACAGCAACAACACCAACAACATCATCATATGTAAAATGTGCTAAAAATTAATTTATTTATTTTCCCAAATGGTGCTTGCGGACACACCAAGTCCGCAAACACGCTGGTGACAATTTTTCAAAATTCCGACAATTTTAACTCATCGAATCTCATATTTATGTTGAAAATACGTGTAAAATATAGAAATTTGACCTAGAAATTGTTGTTTTTGTCATTTTTATATCGTTTTTTGGGTTGTTTTCCGATAATTTACTGTTGAAAAATGCAAAAATAGATTTTTCAAGTTTTCCTGACAGAATGACGTCTACACGCAGTGCGAGGAAAGTCTCGGACCTTTATGATTGTGATTGGTAGGTGTCGATGCGCTCCATTGAAAATTTTCACCTTTTTTGAATTTTTGAGAAAAAAAATCAATTTCTTGCGGGTTTTTCTCCGGATTTTTCAAATATTTCTCTAACTAAAATGCGCTCCATTAAGAATTGTTCGAATTTTCCGGGTTTTTTCGAATCTTTAAACGTAAAATTCGTCTTTTTTCGCAATGGAGCGCACTTGCAAACAAAAAATCTCAAAAAAAAAATCGATTTTCCAGGTATTGGGGAGATTTGGACTGGAAATGGGCGGAACGACTGCTTTTGCTGTGTCCAGTTGGATATTTTTTGATAAGAGACAGTCGAAGTGAAACGCATCTTTTTACAGTTTCTTATCACGCTGAAGGTGAGCTGATGAATTCTGAAAATTGAAAAAAAAATTTTGAAAATTTTTTTGAAAATTTTGAAAATTCTATAAAAATTTTTTTCAGACAAAGTCTATCACTCTCGTCTATCTCTAGAAGATTCTCGACAAAATTTGGGTAGCCGTCGGCCCTATGTTTCAAGGGACTACCGTACTCTCGTCAAGATAATCGAGCGATCGTTGGAGGTGAGCTAACTCCACGTGGCACCGGAATTTTTCTTTTTTTTCGAAATCTAACTCAAAAAATAGACAATCGCTTTTTTTTGAAAATTTAACCCCAGAAAAGTCGATATTTTTAGCTTTTTCCAAAATTCGACCCCCAAAAAAATCGATAAATCAATTTTTGCTCTAAATTTCCGGAAGTTTTCCTGGCGAAACTTCAGAAAAATTTTTTTCGAATTTCTCGAAAACCCATTTTTGGATTTTTCAGTTTTTTTTTCAAAATTCGACCTAAAAAATCGATAATCAATTTCTTCCAGCAATCCCTACACGGTCACCAAATGCTTCATTTCCGACGCGGATTCGAAGCCGACGCCGCCCATGTTCATTTGACAAGCCCATTGACAAAACGAGAACTTCTTCCATCGCTACAATATTTGTGTCGATTCGCCTATCGCTCCGCCCCTCAAGCTCCGCCCATTCCGCAGGCCACGCCCCCTGCGATTTTGACATATTTGAATGATTCGAAATGGGTGATACCGGATTTATTGAAGTGTGAGGAGCAGTTGAAACGAAGATTTCGATGAAAAAAGTTTTTTTTGTTTGAATTTTGTGATTTTTTATTTCATTTTCATGTATATCGGGTACTTTAATAAATGTATTTGTGTTTCAACTTTTTTTACAAATTTTCTTAAATTTTCAGACTTTTTATCTAGTTTGGTCATATTTCTTGCATCTTGGGAAGTTTTAATTTATCAAAAAAATTAAAGATATTATTGTTGTCCGAAAAAATTGGAGTTGAGACGCAGACAGTTAATCGAAATATTTCTCTGCGTCTCCACCGACTATGCGCTATTTAGGCTTGTCGCTTCGAGGTGCCTACCGTATTCGGACTGCAAAAATACTCTCTCGCTCCATTTTTTTCGCACAACAATAATATTTTCCAAAAATTTCAAAAAAATTTAAATTTTTCTAATTTTCTGATGTTCAAAAAAACTCAAAAATTTAGAATTTCCAAAGAAAAAGTTGAAATTTTGAAAAATTCGAACTTCAAAATTTCAAATTCCCGCCAAATACCCTTTTTTTCAATTTTTAGAGCCCAAAAGTCCATGTCAACAATTTTCGCTCTGTCCTCTGGCACTTTGCCAAGCGCCATCGCCGTTTTTCGTGTTTCCGGTACGCTCCGCCCATTTTTTCCCTTTAAGACCCGCCCACTCTTTGTCCAGGGCCTCAAAGTCTTCCGATTCTTCGTCAACTGAGTCGCCGAAAAGTTTGGACGCCAAAAATGATGGAATTCACAAAATTGTACGATTCGCAGCGAAGAATTATCGACGAATCGATGGCTGTTTATTTTCCAGGTTGAAAGAAAAGCCACGTGGATTCGGAAAAAAATAAGCTCCGCCCACTTTTTTCAGGTCCCAAAACGTTTACCGGCGAGGACACTGCCGAATTTTTCCTGCATGGAAGTCAGGCGGTGGCCCAGAAGTTTGCCACGTGTCTTTCAGAAATCGAGAATGTTCGAGAAGCGAAACGAGGGGAGTTTACAAGACGGTAAGACTACAAATTACAAAAAAAGCGATAGCGAAAAATGTGTAGTTTGTAGTTTCGAAGCAGAAATTTTGCCAAAAAAAACGCGAAAAATCGATTATTTACTGAGGCTTAGCAAAAATTGTAGTTTGTAGTGTAAGCCTCAGTGAAACTTGGAATGATTTACTGCGGCCAAACACACTACAAACTACATAAGCTTCTAAGCCTCAGTAAAAATTTATTTGTCGGCAGTTAGTTTACTGAGGCTAAGACTACAAACCACAATTTTTGCTAAGCCTCAGTAAATAGTAGATTTTTCGCTTTTTTTCCTCTTTTCATTCGTTTCCGTCCGTTTTCAACGATTTTTAATCAAAATTAATGGTATTATTTAGTTTACTGAGGCTAAGACTACAAACTACACAACCTTCTCAGCCTCAGTTAAACTTCAAACCGTTCTAACTCGGCTCATTTTCAAGCGTTTTCTATGATTTTTGGCTCAAAATTTTTCCCATTTTTTAGAGTTTTCTCAAAGACTACAAACTACAAATTCCCCTCAGTGAACAAATTATTTTTCAGCGCATTTCACAACGGAAAAATGAGTATTTCGGAGGTTCGCGGCTTGGACCGCCTGATTAGGTCTCGAACGGAAAAAGAGAGACGGGCGGCGTTCGGACAAATGCGTGGCGGTACACGGGCGGTTGAAATACGGTGGGTATCAGCAAGTGCGCTCTGTTGAATAGCTCGAAAATTTTGAAAATTTCAGCAAAAAACTGGTCGAAATTCTGTCGAAACTTTTCGTAATCATTGATTTCGGTGAGCACGTCGCGCTGGAACTATCAGCTGCTCAGAAGGATGTCGCTGAAATTTTGGCTGAAATTAATCGATTAATCTTGGCATGGGAGGGGGCGGAGCGTGCGCAACGTGGATTGGAAATTGTGTTATATGGGCGGCCGAATTCCGGAAAATCCAGTATTCTGAACCAGTTGGCACATGATGACGTGGCAATTGTTAGCGAGATTCCCGGAACGACGAGGGATAGTTTAGTGGTAATTTTTGAATGTGTTTTTTTTTCAAAGTTTCAAATTTCCGCCAGACCACAATCCAAATCAACGGAATCCGTTGCCGGCTAACCGACACCGCCGGCATCCGTCCTCACACCAATGACGTCATCGAAGCAGAAGGAATTCGAAGAGCTCAACGACGTCTAGAATCTGCCGACGTCATCTGCTTCGTCGTGGATCCAGAATCCAGAAGTGATGACGTGGCAAATATCCTGGAGGATGTGAAGAAGTTGAAAAATCCAGAATCCAAAGTGTTAATTGTGAAGAACAAGGCGGATTTGAAGCTACCGTATCCCGAGGTGTCTTCTTCAGGAATCCACGTGGTTTCTTCGCATGCCACGTCATCAGAAGGATGTCAGAAGTTGAGAGAGACGTTGGGAAGCCTGGTAGATCAATTGTGTCCTGAGACTAATTTTTTATTGGATGCCGAATTGTTAAGGTAAATTAGGCTCCGCCTACTTTTTCAAAAGTCGATTTTTTAATTTTTCGAAAACTCAAAATTTTCAAAAATATAAGGCTCCGCCCACTTTTTAGATTTTGAAAAAGTAAAATTTTTCGAAAATTCAATTTTTCGAGCTTCATTAATTTTCTCTTCTATAGAATTCAATAAGTAGGCTCCGCCCACTTTTTGAAGCTCAAAATTTGTTTTTTCAAAAATTCGAAAATTTTAAATTTTCGGAAAAAAAAGCTTTTTTCAATATCTCTAAAGCATCTTTAAGTTTTGGCTCCGCCCACTTTTTTTGAAATTCTTGAGAATGGAATTTTTCGAGCTTCAGAAACTATCCTTTTTAGAACTGTCTAATTAGGCTCCGCCCTTTTTTTAAACTCAAAATTTGTTTTTTCAAAAATTCGATATTTTTCAATTTTCTGAAAAAATAAGCTTTTTTCGATAATTCAAAAAATGTTGAAATTTGAGGCTCCGCCCATTTTTCAGAAATTTTTTAAGTTTAAAAAATTATTGAAAAGCCCAACCCCCTTCTAGCCGCAAGAAATCTCTAATTTTCTAGATTTTCCGTAAAATATGATTCTCATATTTTCGTCTTGTCTTCTTCCCTAATTAAGAAATCCGATACATTTTTCTCTCCTGCCCCGTTTCTTCAATTTGAACCCATTTCTTAAATTTTCTCTCTCTCTCTCGCTCTCTCTCTCTCTCTCCCCTTGTTAGTAGTTTTATTCATTTCCCCTCCCATCGAAAACTTCTTCTCATTTTGCAGAAAATGCTCCGATGAGTTGACATGCTCAATGTTGTGTCAAGACGCCGCCATCATGTGCCAACACATTGAAAAAGGACTCGAGCACATTGCAGAGCTCACCCAAGGAACCGTTACTGAATCCGTTCTAGACGGCATTTTTAGCCAATTTTGTATTGGAAAATAATAATTTTAGTTGTTAAAATTCTGTTTGAGTTTAATAAAAATTTCAGTTGTTGTTTTTGTTCTCTTATAACAAAAAGTTCAGAAATTCGCTCGAAAATGAGCCAGAAACGACGGAAATTCGTCGGCAAATCTCTTTTGAGCGAAACGTGTAGAAAATTCCATAAAATTCGATGAAGAATAAACCTAAAATAGCTGTAACGACGTCCAAATGCGCGCCAGCTGTTTAGCAAGTTTTTTCCACAAAATATCGTTTCAATTGAGTATTAAGACTTATAAAAAGGCAAAAACTTGTCAAAAGACCTAAAAATTTGGGGAATTACTCGAAAATTTGATGAAAATCGGTCCAAAGTCACAAAAAACAGTCGAAAGCGATAAACGCACCGAAGGCATCTCAACAAAAAAGAATAAAGATGTGTTTTTCATATTATTTTTCAGAGCGAATTTTGCGATTGATTGTGATAAATAGCGAAAAAAAAACGAAAAATTAAGTTTGGTGAAAATTTAAGTTTTACAAAAATCTGAAAAAAGTTAAAGGGGGACTCCGACCAGAAATTTTTATTGCATTAAAATGTGTTAAAATTTATTTGTTTTTCAAATATTATTGCAAAAAAATTCAAAGAAAATCCGAAATCCCCGAACAACGGCGTTGAAAAGGAAGAAAATTCAAAAAAAAAGTGCCTCCGGGGGACGAGGATTTTCAGTGAGAAACCTAGGCCACGGCACCTGACAGCCTTTTTTTCAAGTCGCCG